TTGCATTGACTCCAAAATGAAATGCTTGGAACTACCATTTCTTTCAGATTTCCTTTCATTTTACTACCAGATGAGAAGAGTAACATCTAAACACATGAGCTTAAACAGCAATCGCTTGCTTTTCTAAGAGAGTTTAAATAGGATACTAAGTTCTAAGCATCCAGCTTGAAAATTCAGTCACATTTTCTCTGTGAGTTTTCTTTTCCTGCAGAACTCACTAAATGAAAGGAGCATCGACTCTTCTAGAGCTAAAAATATAAGTTCTGTGGAGCAGCAAGTTTTTCAGTCTTTACACAAAATTAGGAAAGTCACTGGATCAGATCTTTGAATATGAACAGAAAAAGAAAAATAACACATGAAAATTAGAATTGCTTTTGCTTTAAAAAAAAACAAACCTGAAAAAAACCAAATTCCTATATCTTTATCCGGGTTCTTCTAAAACCTTGCTCAGGCACAGCTCCAGGGAAGTCAATCCAAAGCAATTGTATAAAAAGATGCAAGATGCTGCATACTGGCAAATCTATTGAAGCAGCCAGTTCCACTGGATTGAAAAACACAGAAAAATTTCCCTACTGAAAGTAGAAGGGATAAGCAGCCTTTCTTTTCTCATGCCAAATCATTCAACAGCAGTTTTCATGGACACAATGGAATAAACCACACAAGCTTTGTTTCAGTATTTGTTTTAAAAACAGGAGAAATGCCAGAAATGCTAAAGAAAAACAAGATCCTGTATAAAGTGCTGCTACTGAGGGGAAACGAGTGTTCTGTGAAGGCTTCCCACTACACTGATGAAACTGAGGACTGTACTGCCCAAATGACAGAAAATGCAACACGCAATGGATTTGAGAGATGTCTGACATTACAATGAGTAAGAGTACGCATGACTTCCATCACAGTAAGTGAGTGCTGCTGTGTACATATCATCCTATGAAAGTTAAGAGATAAAACAGATAGATGAAGTTAGTGTTTCATAGAAAGTATTCTGTGTCTGCTTGGCGTCAGTTGGGAGATATCAGAGCGATGAGTTAATAGCCTGTGTTTAGGTGCCTTGCTCACTTCCCAAGTGACATGGTGGAACATTCAGGGGATCATTAAGTTTCCAGCCATTCCTAAACAGCAACAGGTGCTTGAGAAACATTTCTCCAGTATGTCACAGACAGCTTCATCACTGTCTTAGAAATAACTGACTGCACTTGTGTTTCCTCCATGGCACCAACTGACAATGAGGAGAGAACGAAAAAGATCAGGAAGAACTCCCAAAACATCCGCATGTGCATGGTGAATAGGTCTAGAAAAGTAAGTAATGAAAGACCCTGCTGCATACTCTGAATTCAGATATGATACTTGCATGTGCATCCAATGTTGCTGTTCATTCAGACTCCAGTATCATATTCAACCAAGCTCTAACAGGTTCCTGGGAACAGTGATTAATTAATTGGAATGGCATTATAAGGAGCTGAAACTTTCCCAATGATTAGTATTTATTAATCCCTTAAGTAGTTTGTCTACACATTCAAGCATACTTGCCTGGAAGTCTTAGAAAGCTTCTCCAACCATGAGAAGGAAGCTGAGATGTACCTGGAAAGATATGGTCCACTGCCTGCCATAGCATTCATGTTTTCACAGGCTGTTTTAGCATTTTTAGAGAGTGCTATGTATGTGCACAGTTTCCTAAAACATTTACTAATACAGCCTGACACTGAGAGAGATTAATTCAGAAGCAAGCAAATTTGTAGTTCAACTAGTAGATTTAAAGAAAAGGAGACTTACAGTTCCTTACAGAGTAATAAAAGGGTAAATATTGAAGACTAGAACTACATTGAAGAGTTTCCTATGTGTAGAATATCCCTGTATCCTACATTTCTTTACATGGAAGTACTAGAAGACACTAAAGGAAATTCTTTCAAAATCAGAAAACACAGTCTTCTCTCACCTCTTTCTTCTCATCTGTCTAGAAGATACCTGAACATATCAGTCCATCAACATCCAACAATTCCAAAGCTATTTAGAACACAAAAGCTCTGTAAACATGATCCTCAGACAATGTTCATCCAAAATCAGCTGTGTGATTTGAGTTACTCTATATCAAATGGATATGAACTTTTGCTATTTATATACCTAATTCCTAGAACATATATTGTCCTAATTCCTTGAATACTTGGCCGGTTGAACACGGCTACATCTATTCATCTATAGGAACTGATGCATTTTAGCCATCTTGGGATAATCTTTAAAACCGGCTTAGGAAATGTGTTTTACCAATAACTCAGGGCAAAAGGCAGAAAACAAATAGAATGTGTTAATTTCTAGATCATCATAGGCACAAATTTAGTGAACGTTCTGTGATTCCAATTATATAAGATGGAAGAAAGATCAAAAGTGTGCTGAGAACCGTAAAGTGCTTTTCTTACTGGGAAAGAGATTAATGGCCACTGCCTTGTATTGAACCCCATCACTTTCTCCTATATGTTCCCACTAGCGCTTTGCTTGAGTTGCCAGATGTCCATCTCACAAAGTTTGGAAATAGCCTGCAAAATCCCTGCTGACAGCTACTGTGCTGGCATGCAAATTCATGAGAACTCTGAAATCCACTAAAGTCTTAGAAAAAAACTTTGCTTATGGAAACTTCTTACATGATGTAACAAGTTCCTAGATGTTGTGATGACACTGTGCAAGGTCTGTACTATATCTGTTGCATTATGCCATCACTGCATATCACTGTTAAGATAGAATAGCAAACACATATTTTAAAGAGTTTTATGAAGTCCTGAAGTAAACAGACCCCAGAAGCCCTGAGAAGAATGCAACATGCAACAAGGAATAATCAGGAAAATAAAGAGTTATTGCTTTCAGCTTTGTGCAGTAATACCATGATAACACCAAGAGATTGCAAGTCCAGACAATTTGATTTCCTCCATGCTTAAATTTCTCATCCAGTCACTGTCTCAAAGTAGCTTTCAATCAACGTCACTTCACTGGAATCTGTTTTGCCATAAGATATCACTGAGGTTGTTCTTGGAAATTGATAGATGATTTTACCATGGTGATACATCATTCTTCGCTCAAACAGAGAGTGAGAAATGGTGCAAAACTACTGCTTTTACTTTGCCAATAACTGCCCATATTCCTAATGCCAGCTATTCGCTGGTTTCTCCTATGACTTCTCGGGCCATAGATGTAGTCTCTGAGACAGAAAAATGTAGGCTTTTTTCAATAGATTCATTAATTAAAAAGAGTTTACAGATGCCTTGAATCAAAACAGCACCCATTCTGCAAGTTTGATGTAACCAGATCTGGTTTTGCTCTCTCCTATGCACATTCTACTAGCTTGAATGTCACCATCTAGGGTGTACCTAGCCACTTCAATTCAGAACTGCACTAGATGGAATTTCTTCACTGAACTGCCACTAGTCTCCCTCTGGCCTAGATTTTTAATAGAAGCTAACATTCTCCTAAAAGAATTAATATTTGACCATATTATTCCATTTTATTCTGCAGGCAACTGTACTGTTTTTCCACTGTATCCACTGAATTCTGAAACAAACTTTCACTGGGCAAAACTCCCACATTTCATCCATTTTTCACTTGCCTTTCAGGTGAATCTGAAAGCTGCCCTTCTGAGCCATTCTTACCACTAACAAGTAAAGCTTAACAGCAGTAAGTTTCCCAGAGCAGAGACTCAGATTTAGGCTTTTCTATTTACTTGCTGATGATAGGCATGGACATGCATGATCTGCATGAACATGGAATCCCCAAAGACCAGCTGTAACTCCAGCTGGTTTTGGCAAGTGCCCCCAAGATGCTGACACTGACCTCCTACTGAGCTACCTCTTAGATCGCTGTTAAAGAAAACAGAATAGGGATTGCTGTCAGAGGTCCTTATAAAAAGAGTTTCATCACACAAAGGACAGCTCCTACATGATCTTCACTAGTCAATATAGGGTTTATTCTCATGGAAAATGAGCAAACTCCCTGGGAACTATATTTTCAGGTATTACAACAGACAAACTTTAATATGCACATTCAATTCTTCCCATAAATCACCAGTAACACAGAAGGGACTCCATGCTTCAGTGCTGTGGCAATTCACAGGTCCCTTGAGAAAAACACTGCAAATGTTACATTCCATGAGAGAAATCCTAAATGCTACCAAAATGGACAAGAGTTTGGCCCCTTGTCACTGGAGAAATGATATAAACCATCTCCTGAGGTATCCACAGGCCCATGATTGAATGCAAAGAAAAAGTTTCAAAGAGATTTTGTTTTCTGAAAGCACAGTCTTTGCTACAAAAGAGAAGCAACCACTATAATCTGCATTCACTCAGGATATGTGATTCCACTCAGTTTCTGCAGCATTATACGGTTACTAGCTCAAATTGTGCAAGCATCTACAATTCCCAGTGCAACCACTTATGCTAGAACTAGACCAACCACATGTATTTTGTATCAACTAACCTAAAGATCCTAGACAAACCGGAAGGCAGGGACTAAACCAGGTATTAGGTCAGGGATTGTAACTAATAGAATCTTATTACAACATTTTGACTTGTCAGTGGAAATCACTGCTGTGTAATGGAGCACAGAGTATGTCTGTTGACAGAGCCAGCTCTCCACAGCCTGTGTATAATTAACGCAGTTCTCTGTCTGGAGGCTCAGTAAAGTCAGTAGACTATTGCTACTGGAAAGCACACACCAAAGTGGAAACCAAGTAAAGCTTTAATAACAAGCCTCTTCCATTAAAGTATAAAAAACCCTACCATATCAGATTATTTTTTAAAGCACTGGAATGAAACACTCCACATTTTATTGTATGATATACTGCTTGTCTACAGACACTTGGCTGATTTTCCATGTGAAACCATTTTGTGATAATCCCCAGTTCAATACCAGAGACAGAAGAAGATACAGCACAGGTACAGCAAGTCCATTTTAGCCACATTCTTGTAGTCTCCCCCTTTGTGGTGTCCCCTCCCCAGTACAAGAGACTACAATTTATTTACCTTTATCCCAGGGAGTCCAGGAAGCCCAGGAAGACCTGGTTCACCCTATACAGGAAAATTACATAATATTACAGACAGTATTCAGTTATAATCACTATCCAGTGAACACCCCTATATATTCTGCAGCAAGATAAAAAAGCATAGATGACTGCTAGCCAGTTCAAGCCGGACTGATATTTGCAAAATGAATGACTTAAATTTACAATTAGTAAAAGTCATGTTAAGAGCTTAAATAACTTCTGGGAACCTTGGATCTGAAGATGACACCCAGGTTGAAAATCCAGATCAGAAGAGTCAAAAATGAATTCACATTAGCCTTCACCAAAACAGAATTAAAAAGCAGCAATGGTTCATTTTACATGCTGCCATTTCAGCAGACAGATGTTTAATTCTGTTCAGTTTTCAACTCTGAGCTAGATATTGTGCTGTGTAACTGTCTGGTTTAGCTACAGAGCAATTAAGAAAAGCTTGGTTTAAATTGTGCAGCTCAAGCAGGACTACCTAATTATAACTGGGCCACCATTCTTATGGAGCTATCTGTAGCATCATTTCAGTGCTTGCTATTTATCTGTAAATATACATGGTGTCATGAAGGATAATGGGAATGTAATCTTCTATTACTTTACCCAGAAGAACCTTGCTTGTTTAAAATTGCAATGAAAAGACTTATAGTGCTGCATTTGCAAGGGTTATTTTGTAACAGGAATTGAAAACTGAATGTATTAATTTTGAAATGAAGTGGATATTAGTCTAAAAAAAGAATGACAACATTTGCACAAATGGTCATTTTGAGATATCAGCTAAATGGAAAGACGTTGTCCAGGGAAATAAAGACGATGAATAGAAAAAAAAAAAATAGCAATAACATGAAGAAAACATTATTTTAAAGTCTGGAGGTTTTATTTTAATACAGAGATGGATTCTAACCAGCAGCTTGGATCTGAATATTCCCTGAACTTTCTGGAAGCTCAGGTCTGAACTCTGAAACCAGCTTTTACCTTCAGAATGAGTTGAACTATATTCCAGATTTTGTACGCTGCTGAGCATTATAGAAATCCAGATTTCAACTCTGTGGTTTGGGCTGATTCATCCAGATTGTGCTGTTTAAATATTTTATGTGTATGCATAGGCATATACATACAGTCATACACTCACGTATACACATGTATACATACACAAATATGAACACATACATGCACAACATAGATATTTATCAGTACCCAGAGACACTTCTTCGAGGCATTAATATTAAATAGACTTGTAGGGCTACTAACAAAATTATATTCTGCCACAAACTGAAGAACACAACAAGGGGTCTGCAAATTGCTTTACCAAATTGAGTGATTTTTAAATGTTATACAAGGATCTAATAACAGCTTCTTTGCCCATTTTACTTACTCCAGAATTTTAACTGTTCACATTGCCTAAAAACACAGGAAATATTCCAGTCTCAAAATATTAACTATAACATCAGATGAACGAACAGAGGCTAGGACACCATTTTCAACAGATAGATACTAGTATTTTTGGGTACGTTGCCCAACTTTCTAAAGCAGAATATGTGTTGCTACTCTTGCAAAACAATAATCCTTTACAAAGCCTCCATTGCACTCATTCCTGACAAAATGCTAGTTCCAAAACCTTACTTCTCTGTCTTGCAGTTTCTTACTTGAGTAGCCATACATACAACACTACTACTGTGACCTTTTCTCATCTAAGTGTGGAAGTACTAAATTTCACTTGTAAGAACAGCATTTGAATAATTATAACTGATAATCTATCGCTATTGCTGCAGTAGGTCACTGTTTAGTGTTGGGACAGAGATAACTCTCATAGACCCACATGTAACAAGCAGAAAGGAACCACCAAGGCCAGCTCAGAATTACAGTAATCAAAACCAATTAAAATGCCCCTCAAAGATAACTTTAAAAAATGTGAAACATTGAAATTGCTAATGCTAAATTCTTCTTGCAGAAGAATGCGTAATACTTACTTTTCTGGACCTTTCTTGATACAAAAAAATTAAGTATGATTTATGAGAAAATGATTTTTAAAGAAACCAAGGCTGTACACTATCTCCATCTTATAATGCTCGGGTTGGCAGGGCAGGTTGTTCTGTCACCTCTGCAATATATATGGCACACAACAGGCTTGTCAGGCCACTGAAATACTGTCACATTTCAAGTAAATACTATTTAGGTGGGCAGCTCAATATTTACCTGTCCTTAGGAGATGGGTAAGGAATAACTGGAAGAAGAGGAAGAAGTTAAATATAAGGAAGGAAGGAAGACACCAGCAGGAAATCGGAGTGGGACATGGTAGGGGGAAAACTATTGTGGAGACTTAGAGGGTAGAGGCACATCTCCAGTTGGAAAAAGGGTTCCCCAAAACCTTTGGTGGGTGAATGGGTACCTGCTAAGCAGGGGGCAACAGCAGACAAGGGGCACCTGGCTGGAGGAGGCACTCTGAATGAGCGCATTACTGTGGCTGCTGTTTGGGCTGGGACCTGTGTGGCACACTGGAAGCTTTTGAGGTGAAGGGGAAAGAATACGTTAAGCCCCCTTTGGTGCGAATAACAAGCTGAGACTATAGGACATCTGAACTGCGTACCTCTCACTTATCTGTTACCTAAATGAGATCAAACCTGAGTACCTGGGGACTGAGATCCAGGTGCCTGCTGATAAATCACCACTAGTTTTGCCTCCACAGCAGCTAATGAGGATATGAATCTTAACGGGCTCCTAAACGCATTTTCTAGTTTATTCCCCAAGAAAAGCATACACTGCAGAATGCACGCACTGAATGATTTTGTGGATTCAATAGCTTTAAACTACTTTGATTACCTTTCCTAACTAAAACTGCATTTTACTAAAGCACTTAATTTACAACCACAATAACCTTTGTTTAGTCTTATAATTAGTGACAGTCATAATTTCTCAAACAAAAAGACTTAACATTTAATTTTATTTTATATTTGTTTTAGTTTTTTATATATTTTGGGGTTTTGCTTAGTCACCAAAAGACCTCAAGTATTGGAAAACAGTTGTACTGCCACTCGCTATATAGAATTTTAGCTCTTGGCTATCTGTCTGGAATACCTGCTAGCTTAACTGGCAGATGAACTCTGCTCCACTCTGGCAACAGTAGGTAATTTTCAATGTTATAAGAGGCAAAAATGGTGTCGAAGGCTTCTGACGAAAACCAAGTACTGCAAAACAAAAATCTGGTTCCCCCATTGTCTCTCCTCTTTGCCCTTTCATCAGCTCTCCCAGCAGGACCTGCCTCCTACTCTCATGAATGGCAGCTGAAGGAACAGCATGTACTGTTTTTGATGTACTATAGATTCAAAGAGGAAATTCCCCAGCCTCAGAGTGCCTCATGTGGAGTCATTATAGCTCCTTCTGGACCTCTACTCGCAAAAGCAGCCTCAGGTACATAGCACCCAGGGGAATTTCTGCCCCTGGAAGGAAGCACAGAATGGCGTCACCTGGTCTATATCCTTCCAAACACATTGTGTGCCTCTGACAGTTTGATTCCCCTTACAGGTATATGTGAAGGGAATTCTAGTCAATATTTATTTTCTTCCTAGTGAGACGTCATAATGCACCACAGTCTGAAGGTTAATATTCAGTCAAACATGCAGGGTTAACTTGTGATTACTCATATTCTTTGTTAGTCTTCCCAGCTGCAATTGGGTAAGCTTTCAACGCAAGTGTGATGTGGCTAGAAGGGGAGGTGAGTTAGTCTAATATTGCTTTTCATCTTTATTAGTATAATCATTCCTGTACTTTTAAAAAATACAAAACAATCACACACCAAATGCTTACAGCTGTTAAACTGTACTGCCTTGGTCTCACCCTAGTGCAGATAAGTACCAGTGGTAACATCTGTGTAACATCATTTATTCACAAATCCAAGAGAAGAAGAGGAAAACTGAACATTTCCAACTAATACCTTTTGTCCAGGTCTTCCAGATTCACCAGGTTCACCCTAAAAGAGATGAAAGATATAAGATCTGATAAGATGAATTAAAAATAGAGCTAGAGAAAAGCATAACATTAACGGTACTTGAAATGTCTGTGACACTACAGATTAACACAGACCAACCACCCCTCTTGTCCCTATAAGACTGCTTTAAAACCAAATTACCTTAATTCCTGCAGCAGAAGAACCAGGGTCACCCTGATAGAAAATTCACAAGGAATAATTATATATACAGCTTGTCAAGAAAAATATGTAAGAAAACATGCAAGAGTATAGGAAGATTATATAGAAAAATAACTATATAGCAAGATTGCCTGTTCTCTGTGCTGCTACATAGGAATTTACCCAATGAATTAAATCGGTGTGGCTCAGAAAAGGAACAGAATTGTTTTTGAGAATATGTAGAGAGATTTTTGTTTCATTCATCCAAACATCATAACAGTTATCCTCAAATTTCACAGCTACTAATGTAGATTATATAATTGCAGATTTTGTATAAATGTGCTTCATAAAGCCAGAGGAAGGGACATACTTCGACATCTCTAAATTGCTGATATCCATTAAAAATCACTTACTGCCATTTACAAAGAATATGAGCAATCTTTTGACCTAACCCTACAGATGGCAAGTGTCAGGTCTCAACTGACAAAGCTTTTTGTGCTATTGAAGGTTCACCTTGGGAAAAAACCTCAGTGACCTATGTGTTTATCCCCATCAGGACAAGTCATAGCCCTATTTCCTCAGCAATTCAACATATTTAAACTGATAGTTTAATGCAGTAAAGTGTTATACTTCACAGATGAGAGAGCTATAGTAATTTATGTATTCAGGAAAGGTCTCTTATGAGGAGACATACAATATTCAGAAAGATTCACCTGTGTTTTACTGGGTTGACTGGGTTTGATAGGCATTGATATGAACAAGGGCAGAGGATCAGAGAGTGACCTGGTCAAGAAGCTTTTAGCTCAGAGTTTTGTACGACTGTCACAAGATCTTTACAATTCTTGTGCACACATACTTGGCTGCATTTTTTGCTTAAATGACACACCAAACAGAAATGAAAAAAACCCAAACAATAATTTGCTAGTCAACCTACAATCTGTTGAAGACGGCTGAAGTGCTTCTATTTGAAGAACTGTCTCATTATTTGTTATGCAAAATAAATTTAGATTTTTCACTGAAAGTAACAGTGAAGCTGCTAGAAAATGTTCCGTGAATGACACAGTTTTCATGTCTAGAAACCTGAGCTGCCTCATTTTCATAGACATACATGACTGATACTGCTGGTATCACTTAGAAGTGTGTAGAAAACCTCAAGGACTTTTTATAACTGTGAAGTGGTAAAGCAACTGGTAAGAGACATTCACAAGTTAAACATTTTGAAGGGTAATGGTGGATATGGGGAAGGTAGGACAAAAAGTTTCCACCTACCTGCAAGAATCAAAATTAATATGGGATTAAAGAAAAAATTATTGTACAGCATGTTTTCAATTCTCTGATGAGTCAGACAGTTTGGAAATGAAGAAACGTTAACAAGGGAACATGCACACAGAAGGAAGATGCTTGGTAGTTTCTAGAGATCAAGGCTACAGTAGAAGAGTTGAAGCAAGAACTCAAGTCTGGCACTAGAAGTAGGACAATTCAGCTGAAATGGTTTCTTTCTTAAGTCACAGGTCAAGATGTAGGCACCCAAGTTTGTATTTCTGAAAGCCACTAGGTACAACAGTTCAGAAAACAAAGCTATATTAATTCCACAAAGAGGAACCCATTCCTAAGCCAAATCTGACACTTGTCAGCTTGTACCTCTCTCTCAAAATATAAGTGAAAATTTACTATTTATCTCACAGAAGCATTATTTAAGCTTTTAAATAAATGTTTTTAACTTTTGTGAAGTATCAGTTAAATTTCCTAAGCATATGTGTAGTATTATGATCTAGTGCAATGGTCTCTTCATTTATTTACATAAAATTAATGACTTGTTTACTGAGCAGGAAAGGTTTGTAGATGTATGTGGCTGAACACCTGAGAACTGAATGGATGCTAGCCTTACCTCTGAATACATGCAGCAGCTCTCTTAAAAACAGTCTTTAAAAACTAAGCCTTAATAAGACTTACATGTCTCCCCAGAAGTATTCAGCTGGAAAAAACTACATCTGGTAGTGAAATTCCATAATGCAATACATGCCCCAAACATTTTAGAGCTACCCAAATAAAGACACAGGTTTTGTAGCAGTGGAAACAAAATAACTGAAGGTATGCATAAGCATAATGCATCAATAAAGCTGTCTGTGAAATTTGCTGGAACTCAATTTGGTCTGCTGCTTTTAAGTAAACAGACAGTTTTTAATGTTACGGTCCTGCCCAATAGAAAGCACCCAGTAGAAAACATAGAAGGAATGCTATTGAGCTATTTTAAACCCCTTGTTATACTAGGGTTTATACTCAAGATAAGTTTAACTGCCTCCTCAAGATGATTGTGACTTCAGTAGAGAAAGTACAGTCACAACACAGTAAAAAATACAAATTAAAAAAATATATGGAAAAAAATTTCCTTTAACACTTACATGACTACCACACTTTCCCACACATACTCCTTGTTAACTAGTACAAATATGTTTCCCAAGTTTAATGTCTCTTAAATTATCTCAGAAACTTATATGAAACTCTCTATCAGCAGAAGAGGGCCTTTTGTTTCTAAGACTTCTGCATTATGAAGTTCAACAAGTTTATTGAAATTTCTTTAGATACAGCAATTCCACAAATTCACTGTTGAAAGCTCACACAGAAATATTTAAAGCATTATACATGGGAGAAGAGATTTCCCACTGAAAGGAGAGAACTTTTTTTTTCCTTAAACAAGATCCCAAGCAAGGATATGTGTGCACTGCGGACTAAAGCACGGTATTAGCATTCTAGTGGATGCAAGCTTGCTCTCTCGGTAAAGTAGAAAAGGGACAAGTGAAGCTGCACTAGGCTTTCAAGAGAAATTACGAACTTCCCATTTACGTGTTGCAGGACTATCTCTTTGAACAACAAGCTCACACTTGCTAAAAGATTACATTCTTGAATGATACAAAAGTGGATCGAGATGATGTTACCAGCGTAATTTGTGTAAGTAACTAATAAGGTTCTTAAGACTTTCATCTGGGCTAATAAGCATGACTGCAGATAAAGTATTATTTAAACAAACTTTGGGAATCCAATAACTTGACTATTCTTAAATCTAATGTCTATTTTTAATTGCTGATTTTAGAATATGCCCCCAAAAAACCTTACATTCTTGAAAGCATAGCTTTACTGTACCCAAACCGTAGAACCTGAGAGATTTGCATGCATTCCTTGCCAGCTTGATAAATCCATCATAAATTTCTCCTTGCACTGAACTGATGTGAGTTGGTTAAGCAATTGTACACACAGGGGTACAAGAAGAAATCTTTTTTCTTCCACCCAAGTGTAGTCACTAAACTGGATGCTTTTAAAAGCATATGACCTCCAAAGTGATGGCTGGAAGAGATCATTATGACTCGCCCTTCTTCCTGTGCAACACAGGCTTCTCTGCTAAAGACTATCACTTGTGTTAAAGAAAGCACATATGAAAACTCAAATTCTTTTTTTTTTCTTTCAATGATACAGCATAAGTCACACATAAAATCAAGTAAAATAAATTGGACAATGTCTTCGGTGACTTCTACAGCATATTGATACTTTGAACTAACAAAGTATTAGGTGAGGTTATTGCTGATGTCATCTGGCAAAAAGATTTAGTAAACCATTTTTATCTTCAACTCTGAATTGTCCAGCTGGCAATTTAAAGGGAAGTTACCTCCTGCTGTATAAAGTCAAGAATTTTACGCTTAATTGGACAGAACAGTGACATTTTTCCTGCTCTGCATAAAAATGAACAGTTACATCACTCAGAATCATTAAAAAAACCCTTTAAAATGTGTTTTTCTTTTGATCAGATTATTGCTCTCATTAGCTGCTTGTTCTGTAAGCATGCCTAAAGAACACATTTTCTTCTCTACTAATAAGTAGCATACCTTTTCTCCTGTGTCACCCTTCTGTCCATTTTCTCCAGCATCACCCTGTAATTACAATATATACTATATTTTAGTGACTTTATGTGAGCACACAGCATGCAGAGGAGGCTCAGCATTCCAATATGATTAGCAACCTAATTTTGTTAATCAGGTAATCAATCTGTCTATGACTTGGTCAGGAAGCATGGTTTATATAGCTGCTGTGTCTTACACAGTCTTCAGTACAGCTGTAATCCCTTTCACAGGTCCTCAAAAAAACCCACAAACTATCAAATAACTACATATATTGTCAGTATAGTCTACAGACTTCCCCAGTTCACTGTGGTTTAGCACTGAAGGAATGATTTCATGGTGATTCAGCATTTTAAATTACCAGTACATTTGTTTTTTTCAAGAGAGACATTCACCTAAATGCATCTAGTCAAATTCAGGTGACAGTTCCATGATTCCAATACCGTTTATTAGGACTCTCAAGTAACTTACGGCATATACTCTCCGAGTCTGAAGCTGTAAAATGGCAATGGTTTGTGTTGGAAAGGACCTTAAAGATCATCTAGTCCCAACCCGCTGACATAAGCAGGGACACCTTCCACTAGCCCAGCTGAACACTGCCAGGGATGGGGAACCCATAACTTCCTTGGCAGCCTGTTCCAGTGTCTCACCAGACTCACAGAGAAGAATTCTTTCCTAATGTCTAATGTAAATCTACCCTCCTTCGTCTTAAAGCTATCTCCCCTTTTCCTGTCACTACATGCCTTTCCAAAAGTTCCCTCTAGAGATTTTCAGTTACTGGAAGGCTGCTGTATGATCTCCCCAGAGCCTTCTCTTCTCCAGGCTGAACAATCACAACTCTCTCAGTCCCTCTTCATAAGGGAGGCGTTTCAGCCCTCTGATCAGCTTCATGGCCCTCCTCTGGACTTGCTCCAGCAGGTCCTTCATGAATGATTCATAGACTGAAAAAACTTCACTGAATGCCACTCCAAGGAGTAAGAAAAATTATTGTTATCTCTACATAAATACTACTCATTATTTATTGTTAAAAAAAGGTGATGTCCAGATAAAGGTTTTTTTAATGGCTGGGTAGGCATTTTCTACTTTAAAACCAACTTTGTAAAGAAACATTTCCAAAGATTTACCTTTGGAAACAGTTTCCACATACAGTCATATAGACCTACAATACGTCTAGACTGCACTAAAAAGTCTTTGCTATATATGACTATAGGCCAAAAATTTCTGTGGGACTTAAGGTTCATGTAAAGTGTGAGAATTATTTAAAATGGCCAAAAAATTGACAAATGTTGAGTCTAAGCAAGCAAAAGTAGGTGTAGCAGGTCTTGGTCAGATAATCAGTAATAGTATTCAAATAACAATATTTATTCAGTATCTGTCATATTGCTCTGAAAACCTTAATGTAAAATTCCATTCAGAGGACTTATAACAGAGACCATTTTCTATGTCACTGACACAATGGGAATCAGCTAACAATCCAGCAGTACCTTAATTAAGGGCTTGATAAAACATGGGAACACAATAATTGTTAGGAATGCCATCCCAGGTTCATTCAACATGATACAGTATATTGAGGGCATTTAGAATTACATTTTAAAACAAGACAAAAGAAAATTACGGAAAAATATCATTATTTTCAGTAACAGAAATTCAGTATATGTTAAAATCAGTAGTTTTTTTTTTTGCATTGTAAAATAAATAATTACTGAAGTTCTTCAACAAATATAATTTTAACTGAAGTAATGATTACTGATGAAAATGATTAATGATGAGTAATGATTAATGAAAATGATTGAGTAATGATTAATGATGAAAAGAGATTCCCAGTTACATACTTCTACATGTGGGATACACACTTTCAAGATCCCCTTGGATTATTTTTATGATGTGCTTTTCAAAATGTGAAATGAATTGCCTTTTCAAAGCATGTTTCCAGCAGCTATACATGGGTAAATATTTCATAGAATCACAGAATGGTTTGGGTTGGAAGGGACCTTAGAGGTCATCTCGTTCCAGCCCCATTGCCACAGGCAAGGATACCTTCCACTAGACCAGGTTGCTCAAAGTCCTGTCTAACCTGACCTTAAACACTTCCATTTCTCAAGAGCAAACTGCACCTGAATACAAGCAGCTTACTTTTAAAAAACATGTCTCACTGTATTTGCAGAAGATGAGTCTGTACAGATTCCTAAGCAAAACAAGGCTTATGCCATTTCTCAAACTTCCTTTGTTCAGCTGCAGAAGCCTGACTCTCAGTGTGTACTTTTACATGGCAGCTCCTACTGGCCACTTTCCCTGGAAAAGCATAATTAAACCCAAGCTTTGCTGCGTGGAGCTTGTTGCACCCCCTTGTCTTCCCTTAGCATGACTGTGGATGTCAGACCAGTAACTCCTTGCTAACTTGCTTCAAGTCACAACACCATTAGTATTCAATTGGTGCTGCTGGTACCCCTCTGGACAATCTACAGCCTAAGATTGTTGGTGCAGTTTCCCCTGCTTTTACTTAAACTGATGCATGCAAGAATGGAGAACTCCACTTTCAGTATGGGGTGAACTTGTTACATATATGCCATTCAGAGTCTATGTAGTTATCACTCTGTTATCTAATTGTTTTACTGATGCAGGTGACAGAGCATTAACATCAAGTTATAAGAAATGTGTAGATCTCTCATTTATTAGACAGGCTCATCTTTTTCTGAGACTAATCATAATTAGGATTATTTTCACAGTTACTCAACTGTGCAGCCTCTAACACATGACCACTGCTCTCTCCGACTAATCACACTGCAGTGACTTTCATTAGTAGGTGTTATTTGATACTTATAAAGGCTGCACGATGCTGCACAAGTTCTAGGTAGTAGCTATATTTATTTCTTCTTAAACTCAGAATCAGTGCACTGGTGATTCTCCAAACAGTTCTACAAAACAGAACCACAACAAAGGAAGTGGAACATATCTCACCTTTTCTCCTCTTTCTCCAGGGTCACCCTAATGAAAATAATTGAGGCAAAGAAGTCGTAAGTTACTACCATAAGCAAAAATCAGTGTTGATATTATGATCATCAGATTGTCCGCTACTAACGATCTGTCACTACTGATGATTGATTATAAAATCCAACAAGAAAATCTTCAATAAACAGTGACATACTGTAATTCAATAGAATTCAACAGGCCAAATATCTTCAACATAATGTTAAAAGCTTAATGATTTGCATGCAGACTTTTTTTCCCCCCATTTTGTCCTAGATTAAACCCTAACTAAACAAGCATATGTCTTTGTGAAGTGGCCTGCCAGGACCCAGGTGACTCCTATGCTTGGTTCTCCTTGTTTTGGGAATGAAACAAAGGAAAAATCCAAAGGCCAAATATGAGGGGAAAGTCTTATGATTCTGTTAATGGCTTAGAAAGATCTTTGGAAAAGACAAAATGCCTTAAATGTCTTGAACTAGTTCATAATTTATACAGGCTAAAGAGCCTTCAGTGTTCTTCACATTCTCTGTAATAAAAGGGTGGATTATAGCCATTATTTTTCAAAATTATAACTTGCTCAATGGCAAATGTACTTTTGCACACGAGCATGACCCTGACAACTCATCTCTGCATTTCTAGCTCATCTCTGCCTGTTTTGATGGCTGGCAGTCGCTAGGCAACTCAAAGGCTACAGCTGTGAACGAATTAAGCATCAACTGCCATAATTTGGCTTCTTCTGTATACAAAGTAGGAAAAGGTGTGCTCCTAAATGGTTTGTTTTCAAGCCAGTCAGTAAATGCAAAGAGCCCTGTGCGTCTGTCAGCAGCAGGGTGATCCACAGGATCAGCTGAGGAGCACATGTGCACCAAAGACATACACTTGCAGGAGATGGGATTAGAATTTAGCATTACCCATTCCAAGAGGCCCACAGATAACACCATCTCAGACACATTGAGCTTTCTTTTAAATGAAGTTATCATAAGCTTTATGTTCTATTTCACTTTTCAATATCAAAACAGCAGAAAAAAAATATTTAACAACAAAATAAGTGCAAAGAGACATTGTGACGCAACAATACAGGCTAAGGCATGCTTCTAATGAGTCTTGCTGCTAACTTCCATAATAGCAGGATCAGCTCTCAAGACTTAACCCTGACACTGATCAAAGAATTGACCACAGCAGTTCTTGAGAAGAAGCCTGAAATGCATTGTAAGGAGCATAAATAAAGTCTTCCTAAAAAGGTCCCCAAATTCCCAAACACTTGCAGGCATATTGCATTCATTTGGCAGAGGATGCATGTGCATCAGTGCCACTGACTGGAATTCTATATGCACAGAACAGCAGAAGAATATGCTTCTTTATGGTGGAATGTGCAAAGCCTCTTATAGCAGTGATCACTGGAGGGAAGAGATCATTAAAAGCCAGTGAGAATATAAACCTAAGCTGGAAAGCATGACTGTCATCTATACATGTACTCACATCCCATGTGATTCTGTTTTTAATCCATTTTCAATACCAACCTTAAGCCCTGCTGCTCCCTTCTCTCCTGTTATGCCAGGCAAACCAGGTTCACCCTAAAGGTGAAAAACAAAAGATGGGGTTAAGACAGACATGATTGAGTATATTAACAGCATTTCCCCTACTGTGTGATATTAGGTAGGTAACGATAAACTTTAGAAAGATTCAACATCCTCCACAGTTGGGCACTAAAATGCCTTATTTCACCAGATAGAGTGAATCAACTCTAATTAACTCCTCTATAATAAGAAATAATTCTGCTGAAATACACAGTGTGAATACACAGATGTCAAACTAAACAGAAAACAGAACTGTGACTTCTAATTTTGAAAAGTTGTCTAATTAACCTTTACAGCATAGTCTTCCCGGCAAAACTGCCAACGCTTTCCTCTACTCTACAACTTAGAAATACTGCAAGAAAGGCTTATCTGAAATTACTTTGACATTTGTTCTTCTGGTTTCATACAGAAGGCAGATAATGAAGAAAAATGAGAAAGGCCTGTTGCAGAAAATAAGAGTTTAGAACAGACAACTTTTACTTTTTAAAATATACCTTACTTGTCAATTTTTTTCATATTCTTATACCACTGGCTGAAAAGTAGATTTAAAAATTTTCAGCATTACATCGATATTCCAGACTTTAGTGATGTTTAATGGATAGAACGTATACTTTTCCACAGGTTAAAAAGTCATAAATAATTTTCATAAATCAGTCCAAAATTAACAATTATTTACAAAAATCTCCCACCCCCCTCCAAATTTAAAAACAAAAAACCTAATCAAACAAATAAACAAGAAAAAAAACAAAATACCCATACCCTTAAAGACCTTTTTCTAGTGTCTATTTCTCAGATTTTTGGAAGAGAACACAGACATTATTGATTTTAGGTAAAATGATAAAGCAATGGGTAGATTTGATTGTAAAACAACTAGGGGTGATGGCTAATTATGTAAAACTTTCTGCAGAAGTGCGTCTTGGTTTCACAAGAAATATCTAGCTTCTTTGGTAACCCTCATGTACGCAACTGCATTGCACTTCTAGGGTGGAAAAGCATGTGAAAATAACATGAAAAAAAAATTGAAAAAGCCTGCAATTAAGTTCTTGTATGTACCCATAGCTCTTTGCTATGTAAAAAAAAAAAAAAGCGTAAAAATTAAAGAAAATAGCTAACATAGTAATCAAATTAGAAACAGCAATTCATATCAGAAACTCAGTGGACAATTTTCATGCAGTATACAGACTTAGTAGACATGATAAACCTACCCTCTACCCAGAAGTTAAAGGGGAATTTCGATAAAGACCTGTTCCAAATGCAACAACATAGATCTTCCAAACTTCCACAAGAGCCTTCCATTAAGAAAGGACTTTTTCTTACTTCCATGTCATACTTTAATCATAGTTGTATAAATGCCGATTCTCTATTAAACCTGGTTCCATTCTATCTCTAAATTAGGTAACAGGATCATCGATTACATTTTAATTTCAAACTACAAAACAAAAGCTTCAAGGTTCTAGCAAAACTCTAGTGAGGTGTTTTACAAGCCAGAGAAAAAGTGTTAAGTACCATTAAGCTCAGAAGGAATTAAACAACATTTGAGTCAGCCCTTTTCAAGGCTCTTTTCCACTACATTAGCTCTAAGGCTGATAGAGTAGCACAGGCATTTGATACATGAGTGGTCAGGATTCGAAGCTGTTGGAGATTAGGAGTATGTGTCCTAAAGAATTGACCAGAAAGGCACTTGAAAAAAACTGCCAGTTGACAAAATGAAGCAGAAGGGACCAATGAATATGAACTGGTTTCTCCTCATCCCCACACCCCAAACACGTTTGTTTCTGCCCCCTTTGTTTTAAAACAGCTGCTGTCAGCTGACACTTTCAGGGACTTAATTTTCTAATCAAAGAGTTGAAGTCCCAAGCTTCCACTTTCCTCCCAGGTTTACACATCACTGCTATGAATGCAAAGAGCTACCACTGTGACAATAAAACCAAAAGAATTATCCTGTTTTCTTTGGAAAAAAGTGAAAACCTCAGGCTGTCACAGTAAATCCTTATTCACACCAATGGTTTAACTGCTGACATATACGTGACTTTACTGTGGCCAACGCTACTTCTGACCCTGAAAGTACCAGTCAGAGGCATTAGCACAGTAGAAATTAGCTCTGGGAATGGGAAAGACTGAAGACAAACCTAGAAGTACAGCACCAGAAATGACCTTGTGGCTTTACGCTTTTGAAGTGATTATCCTTCTGTTTTTAATGGCCAGAGGAACAGAGGCTAACATAATTTTCTTTCATACCTATAATATTCCTTTCGCTATTTTAGAACCCTATTTTCTTGTCCATACAAGGAATCAGGGAGTAATAAAGTGAAATAAAAATGTACAGCACATAAGCTACTTTATACTCTGCCCCTGGTGAACATTCCCAGGGCACAGCAAAATTAACTTTATTACAGGGAGTCTCCCTCTTTCACACCGTGTGTCTTGTAGGCATGGCAGTCTGGCTGTATGTATAGATAGTCTAACAATTTCATTAAAGCCTAACATAAAAATACAACCAACCAAAAAAGCCCCAAACCCCCAAAAACCTCAAAACCCCAACACCACCACCCCTAAACCAAACCCAAATAGGACAAAGCCTTGACAGACCTCCCATTGGTTAGGATATTCCCAAAGTATTTATGAAGCAAAACAGCAGGTTTTTGAAGGCAAATAGATTGTTAGCTCTTCCCCGATATACACTAAAATACTGTTGCTTTAGAAATAGTCATCCCAAAAGATTATTTTGATTTTTGGCATGGAAATAATTTAAAATATTTCTGTTAAGAAGTACAACTAATTACTTTCCTTCCATTTAGTTATTTTATTTATTTATTAATTAAAGGATGTATTAAAACTGGAGTGTGAAATGCTGTATGAGCATGCATCAGCCCCACATGCTTCATCTCATGTTTGGAGAGGAACAAAAGTTATAGCTGCCCCTTAAAAGGTTAAAGACTGTTACACTATTGTTCTAGGAGTGATGCAGACAAAGGAAAATTAGACATTCAACAATGTCATCTGATGCAATACTTTCAATCAGACTGCTGTTCAACTTAGTAAAATGACAGAAGTTATAAAACTAGATCTTAATCTCATATGATTTTTACATTCAGGAGGCCACGGGTACTGTCTTTCCTGACTCATATTGCAGTCTCTCTGTTTTAGCACTGACAGCAAAGGTGTGAGGCTGCAGAAACAATTGTCTTCTGCACATCATCTACCTTTCAAATTGAGACAGCTTTGTTTTTTGTTTTTTTTTTGTTTGTTTGTTTGTTTGTTTTTTTAGTTTTTTTTTTCTTTTGCAGAATGACAGAATGGTTGAGATAGGAAGTCACCCCTGGAGATCATCTGGTTCATCTCTCTGCTCAAGCAAGGTCACGTAGACCTGCATGCCCTGGACCATGTCCAGATGGCTTCTTTTAAATACCTCCTGGAAGAGACTCTACAGAAACCCTGGGCAACCTGTGCCAGTACTCAGTCACTCTCACAGTAACAAAAAAGTTTTTCTTGCTGTACTAAACAGAAAGAACCTCCTGTGTTTCACTTTGTGCCCACTGCCTCAGGTCCTGCCACTGGGCACCACTGAAAAGCTGTTGGCCCAGCATCTTTGTGCTTTCCGTTCAGGTGTTTGTCCACGATGATGAGATTCCCCCCCAAGCCTGAACTCCCTCATCAATCTCAGCCTTTCCTCATAGGAGAGATGCTCCAGTCCCTTACCCATCTTCAAGGCCCTTTGTTGGACTCTCTCCAGTATATCCATGTGTGTCTCGTACTGAGGAGCCCACAGCTGGACACAGAACTCCAAAAATGACCTCATGAATGGTTTTTTTTTTCATTTTCCTATCTAAAAAGTAACTTCATCTATAATGCATATGATTTTAGGTCATAGCTTGCCATTCTGCAGTCATGAACTCCTGAGAAATTGTCACATAGGGAGAGAGGGATTGGAATCCCTAAGCAAAACATGATCTAAAACCTTCCTGCCTGTGTAGTCTCAGAACACCCAACCCAGCCATTCAATTCAGGAGTTTCAGATAATTCAAAGAATAACCAAAAGGATATTCCTTTGGATAGCACCCCAGAACACCTTAGTTTAAGCCCTAGCACTCTCGACCCGATATTAACTGTTTAACTGTGTTAACGTTGTTGTACTCTCTTTCTTTCTTCTATTTGGGCAAAGAACATCCTTCAGCACCCTACCCAATAAATAGCTGTAATTTCCTCAGATACTCTAGTGGAAGGGACAGTATTAATGTTTACATTAAAATGAATTTGCTGAGTGCTCAGATGTGTAGGGCCCTGCTTGGGCTTTGCTGCTAATATGAGAAAAATCTGTCAATACAAACTTATAAGACCTACTTCAGAACATATCTGAAAATGTAGCACCCACTAGAGTCCATATCAAAGGAGCCAATGCAGTTAAAAGCATGCTTGTCCTTACTGGAGTGCTCTGTGCCCTGAAGGCATATACCTTCATATCCAGAATTAATCAGCTAAAAATAACGTGGCTGGAGGCCCCAGCTTTTCTTGTTTGTAACAGGAAAACAGCCTGGAGGCTGCTGATCTGAAATAGGTTTGGTTTTGGTGGGATGCATAACTCTGCCTACACCAGCTGCTTGATATCCACCTCACCCTCAGAAGAAAGGCTGTCAGTATTGCTGTATTTTTCAGTCAGTAGAATGTAATCAATTTTAAGGATAAGGAAATACATGAGGCCCCCAAACCTAATCCAGTCTAATTTTACTCTAAAATACATAAACAAGGACAGAAGGGAAAAGAAGTGGTTTCTCAGACATGTTACTGTGATTTCAATTTCAAACCAGGGTTGAATTACCTTCCTTCAATTTACTTTTCACCTCCTCAAAAGTAACTTAAAGTTGTTTGTTTAAGGGCTGGAAATCTCTCCTGGACCACTCACCAGATGAAATTAAGTGGAAAGACTCTTCAACAAGATTCAGCTGGCCTGCAAACCTGTCTGAGAATTTGTGAACTATATTTAATGATGTTTCCTTCCTTGCTACTTTATTTGAAAAAATGCTAGGATGCATATGCCCGTCCTCATTTCTCTAAAGAAATATGATAATACTACTTTCAAAACGTCTCCCCTACATAGTACAGTACACACTAATCAGGAAATACATGTAAATCAGAGTAATAAGAAGCATGAAGAAAGCAATAAGGAATGTGCATACCCAGATTCCTGGGTAAGTCTTATTAGTAAGTCTAATGATAAGAAGGGAAATTCCGAGGTTTATCAAATTGATATTGTCAAACTTCTGAAACAATTTGAAATAAAGGGAACTATCCCCTTTCTGGCCATTTCAACATGATTAATGTAGAGTTCTGATATCCCTAGAGTACTGCAACCTTGCATCTCTATGTAAATATAATCTTTTTTTCATACCATTCAAGTTCCTGAGGACCTCTTGACAGGGATTGAGAAAGAGGAGGTTATTTCCCGTAGCATCTTGCTAGGAAGCAACCTGCCACAGATGGATTGCACAACAGTCTGCAAAGGAGAGGGAGCACTCAAAAGGACTCTCCTTGCTATCTCAGAAGGTTTCTATCCATCCCAGGACAACACTCCTCTAGCTGCAGCTCCTTTCCAGTTACTGTTCTCAACAAGTAAAGCAGATTGTGGCTAGAGTTTCCCAAATGTAAGAACAAACTCAGACTGTAATGCCCTCACAGGATTACCTGTAACATTTCATTGGATTTAACCTAAAAGAAAAAAAAAACTGTGAAGTTTTCATGGCAATGATTTTGCTACTATTCTTAATACAAGAAAAATCTGCTAGTTCACAGTCCTGCAAAAACATGTGGGTTGTGTAAATTTACACTTACTCTAATATCTAAAGATTGTCTAAGAGAAGTGGTTCATATGTTAAGGGATTAGAAAAACATTCTAAATGCACTCAGAATTTATGATCTCATTCCCAGGCCCATTGGTCAGAGTTGTCAATCATCTCCCATAATCCACTATTTCAATTACAGAAGAGGTAAAGGGAAAGGAAAAAGAAAATTAGAGAGACATGTGTGAGATGGAGATGACCTAACTCTTATTATTCAACTGCTTAAGGAGAGATCAAATCTAATTCACTGCTGACATTCATCAGCAGAAAAATATTTCATTGTCCAGATGAGGAAAGCATTCACACACACTTAATTTTAAGCATGTGCTTAACACTCACTGCCTTTTAAACTAAGGAAAAATGTTAACTTGGAACTTAGTGCACTGTACATGCTGCTTTTTGACAGAGTGAGCGCACTGGTTAAAAGGCTACCAAGACAGTAAGGCTTTTGTAAAGCCTTTTAACTACATAACTTTTAAAAAGGGGATGACTTGCATCACACATTCAAGTCAAATTCAACTATTCTGCAGATCAACATGAATCTGTATGAGTAAAGCCAGGAGTGCCAGCAGCTAGCTCTTAGTACAGACCAAATCTTAAAATTACTGCTCTGGTCTTCATTCGACAATATCTTCTGTGTCACACTACACTGAGAATCTGTTTTTTTCATATAAATTAGAAGAAAAGACCTTTTGGTAGCATGGGAGTCCTAGGCTGCACTGTGATTTCTAACTTTAGATACATACTGCTTCAGTTTAAGTTTATTTCTAACACTATTTCCAAGCTAGCAGAATTTTTTAGCTATTTATTAAAAGATAGCAACGTTCATTTTTCATCAGCTTAGTATTACATGAAAGCAATACGTTTTCTGCACATAAGGAAGTACTTGCTAGCCAATATCAACCAACAACTGTGAAAGTAAACAAAAAGAATTTGACCACATTTCATTTTTATCTGTATGTTTTTTTCTAGTATCTAGATTTTAGTTTAGTAATTAATATGTTTTTTTCTTACAGGTCAAAAGTAAAATAGTCCAGCTACATTAAAAATACAGACATCTTTATTAACGTGGTAATAATTCAAGAATGTCTTAAAAGTTTTAGATCCTGTAAATATTGAACTAAATCAAATAAACATTATACAACAAATTGAAAATGTTAGGACCTGCTTTAAAAGCACAATTTTCTTAGTTTAAAAGGCAGTGAGCATTAAGCATATGCTTAAAATCAAGTGTGTATGTGAATGCTTTGATAAACAGCATTTAAAGATGTTTGCATTTTCCCTTAATCAAAGGCAACTGCATATTTTTTTTCTTCCCCATTAGACATGACTCCAGGTAAGTTTATGTGGTGTCCTAAAAACAGACATACAACAACCTTGCTAGTAGAGCTTAAAAAATTTCTACATCCCCAAGAATGACACTTTAATAACCAGATATGTTTTGTGCATTTGACACATTTGACTCATGAACATCCATTTTTTGTGCCAATCTGAGTGAAGATTTCTGGCTAGAGCTTGGGTGACAACACTATTAAAAGCAAAGCTCTTAGATAAAATGTGAATCATCAGTTCTGTTCTATTCAATACGGTATGAAGCTTCACCCTGTCCAGTTTTCCTGCAGGTCCAAAGGAAATTATGCTACAAAATGTGTCTTCACTGGCTTTTCACACATACTTTGGTCACAAAATTTACTTGAATTATGTAGAGCAAAAGCATCTGTGTTGACAACTACTGTCTACCATTTTGTTGCAATTGAACATAGCTATAAAACATGAAGGAAAATAATGTCTGGTCTTAATGCAATTTTTTTTTATATAATATTTTCTTATAATCACTTGTATGCTATATATAGCTAATTCTATTTTTTTTTTGTTTTGTCATTACACAGTAGTCATAATACTCTGAACATTTAAAAAATAGCACTGTCACTATCACTAAAGTGAAAAAAAAATGATTACTACATCATTTCTTACAGCCATTGTCAAAACACAGGTCTAATACTGTATATTATGCTGTTAGAAACAATACATGCTTTTTCTTAGGAAAGAGAAATTAAAAATTATTTGAAACATCTTAGCTCATTTATTCCTAGGGCTTTTGGGGAGGGAGACAGAAGAAGAGATTGTATGATGTGAACCTTATACATTACCACCTATTGCTGCTTCAACACAGTAAACAACCTGTTTATAATATCATACATTTTCCTTTTGGCATTCCCTGCTAGTGCTTTTGAAGTTCACTAGGAATGATAGTCCTTGTGAGAACAACAGATGGATAATACTGTTTACCTTCAGGGAGTGATATTATTTAAACATCACCATTCAGATTTGCCAACAAACCTTAGCAATGCCATGAAACAGCCCTGCTGCTTTACTGCGACCCCTCCTTATGGAGGGCTGTTTTGAACTGTGAGTTAACTTGGTGTTGGCACTGAAAGATGACACTGACATGCCTGAGTTAACATTTTATCCCAGTTGCATTCAAGAATATTTCTGCTTGATTTATTTCTCTGCATTTTCATCCCCAACTTCAATTTACATCATTCTCCACATATGTTTCCAGTCTGTCTTTATTCTCTATTTGTTGGTTGTATTAACAATATATTAACGCTGTATAAATACCCAATACCAACATAAGTGTTTGCATCAGGTACTAAGTTAAAAAATTAAAAAAAAAATTTTAAAAATTCTGCAGAAAAAACTAAGTTTGTAAACATACTGTTTAAAGTTGCACATCAGTAATACACATTTCTCTCAGGAACCTATCAGTCGTCATCAAATCTGGACATCAGACTTTCAGCTCAGTTAATTACATTTGCTGTTTGTTTAAATATAACTAGAAAAAAATACTTTAGAGCACAAATCAGATTGTAGAGTCTTTTCTATTAAGCCAATTTGAAACCACAGGTCTGGATGCAAGGTTGCATATTGCTCATGTGAACAAGCCCTAGGGATCTTTAATCAACTACATAAATAACTGCAGTGCTGACAAAGTCAGTGAACTCACCACTTGTCCGTCTCTCCCTGGAACACCAGGCACTCCGACAGAACCCTGGTGGGAAACAGACGCCAGCGTTTAGCAAATTAAACAGGTCATGAAACCTTTCATCTCTTAATACAGTGCTTAAAAATAATGGTGAATGCTTGCTTACTGTAACTGCATAAATTATTCCAAAACTAATATTTATCCAAGCTGAGCTCTCTTTTAATTTGAGATCTTATACCAATTACACATGTTCTCATGCTGCACATTTTAGCAACTGTCTCAACTGTATGGCCTCTTTCAGAAACAAGCTTCAAGCTTTGTAACCTTGTGGATGCTTCACAAGAAATGTAAGAATTAAAATGCAATTCTATTTAATGCTTTTGATAAATTTTGAGACTGATCCTACACAAACAAACATACCTCCTGAACAAAATTATTCTTGCTTCAAGAGGGATGTTTCAAGCTCAATAAGTGGTAGCACCAATCTATCATAACGCTTTTAAGAGATGATCTGCAACAATTCAGCCTGACAGTGCAAATTACAGATACCCTTTTAAATTACATCAGTATTATTGCAATAAAAATTTAAAAGCCAACACAAGGTGCAAAGAGGAAAGCAAAATATCAATACTGACTTGTAATGTCTGAGGGATCTTTTTACAAAGCAATCACACTATAAGTTTCTATATGATGGACAATTTTTCTAAAGGAACTTGTGTGACTTGTTACGAATGTTCATTGAAAACCTGAGGCATGAAGAAAGCAGGAACACTATGTGCGCTTATCCAACATCATCCTCTTTTTGTATAATAATGGCGTTGCTCAGCAAGGAAACTGAGAGCATTATTTTTCATTTATAATCAACTTAATAGGATACAAAAGTGTGATAGCTGTATTTGAAAGGCTGGCACCCTAAAAGAGAACAGGGGACTGGGAAAAGCACAGGCTCTGTCAACAGTGAAGTGTGCAGTTTCATGGGATCCTTAAGACAAATAAGCACCCTGTGAATACTCTTATGCCCTGCTTTATTTCTTTTTGATTTTATCCCTAAAAAACCAGTGTGTGACATTTCCCCATCTATTCATATTGGTTGGAGGTTTCACTAGAAATGGATTAGTCAAAGGGCACCAACACCCAGAAGCATGTACCAAGAATGGATGCACATGTTTGCCAATGAATAGAGTTGAGAAATCCTGAGAAAAAAGAAAAAGAGGCAACTCATGAGGGTCTTGAAAAACCTCAAACATTTGAATGCCCAAGGGGCTCCAACTCATAACAGAGCTATAAATCAGTGAAATAATACTGTGGCATCCCACTGCATCTCCATGACCCAGAATGCTCTCCCCTTACTGCCAAAGCTTCCATTTTAGCATTCGTGTTGCCTCTTTTTGCTGGATGCGTGGTCATGACTACCAAGGGTTCCTAGCGGACATTTCCACATCTTTCTATAACTTTTCCAGAAAACTAGAAGACAAAGCTCAGGACGGCATTAAACCAGCAGCCTCAATAAACTATCATAACAGTTCCTGGTCTCCATGACAGTCTTTTATAGCTGTTGATTTTTCTTATGAGACAGAAGATGTTAGAGAGTGTAAATAAAGCTGATTCTACCATGCCAAGTTATCAGATATTCAAAAGCTAATCAGCAGATGAGTTTTACTGATGCTGTACATGTAAAATACCCTCCTCCCTGAATCTGAGGGCATAATTTTAAATGGCAATTTAGACATCAGCACAGTTTAAAATGCCACATTCCTGCACTGTGAAACATGAAGTGTAGTCCTCTCCTTCAGCCTGCAAGTTCTGCACAGCCCACAGCTGACAAATTTCCACCAGTTTATATATTTTCCATGGATTTATATGCTTTGGGATTACATTTTTACGTATCAGTGAGGTTTTCTTTCTTTTGTTCAAAAAGTTCCATTTGAACAGACGCAAACAAATCTTCACCTTAAAGAATATTATCTTAGAAAATGAAAGACAGAGGTGGAGTCCTTCTCACATATGTTAATACTACTTATTCATTTCCTCTTACTTTTTTTCTTTATACATTTCAAGCCTGTTTTATTAAATATCTTCCATACAATTTATTAATCTTTTGAAATCAACTAGAAAATTACTTGCCTTGGTGGTGTGTGGGTGAGATGCTGGAAAAGTGGCACTTACTAGGTGTTATTGCTGATATACCTAGGACTGTTTTAATGGTGTAATTCCATAAATCCTAAACTCACTACATCAAACTGAGGCAGTCAGGTTTAATGAGTGTAAATAATGCTGACAGCATTCCCAGGAGGTCAGGTCTTGGGTTACTGAAGGAACAGGAAGATACTGGCAGACCACCTGAACACCATCAGCCAAGCCCCATTTATCAGCAACACCTATGTCCTTTGTTTCTGGTGGTCAATTCTTTAGTCATATGGCACTGATCTACTTGAGTAAGGGCATGCATTTAATCAGAAACTCTATCTCCCCACCTTTCACAACATTTTAACATTGGTTTCCTAGTCGTACCAGTGCACAAATAAGAAAATTATAGCCACCTTTTCACCTGAAAGTTAAGCACACAGATTGAAAACAGTCTGTTCTGCATTGCTTGGACTTCCTACGATGGGGGAAATGAGAAATCTGATGTCTCACATTACATGGCTGCATTTTGTAAAAACAAAATTCAGAGCCTAAACTAACTGATCCAATGCAGTGTACAGTAGCTAATTCCATTCACCTTTTCTGCTTGCAATTTGGCACCAGCAGGAATAATCACTTTCACAGTATTGTTGTTTATACTATACCTTTTGTCCTGGAGGCCCCTGAGGTCCCTGCAAAGGGAAAACAATTCAATTAACATATAACTCTAGCCAATTTAAACTGAAATGACCAATTAAAACTGTCTTATTGTGTAAGCATTCTGATACTGGACTGAAACCGGCTGATGTTTTATACATCAAGGCAAAGTAAAACTTTATGCTCAAAATGCACAATGGATCTTTTCTCTTTTGGAACTGATCTAACTACTAACTGTAAGACTCAAATTTTCCCCTTCTAATTTTTTCTCTTCCAACCCGTCTGTTTCTTATAGTACTGACAAATCTGTCAGCATTAAGGTGACAGTGGTTTTTCTCTTTCTGATACCAGCTAACAGCCAGCTGTGTGTCCACAGTAATAAATCTGCTCAGCAGCATAAAAACAAGGTTTACACAAACAAATATTTTAAAGATAGAAACATAAACCTCATAATCTTCTCACTTTCTAGGTATCAGCATGCATTACTATTTTTTACCCAACATGTGATCTATGCCATCATTTGCAAGTTAAGAGAAAAATAATTAAGAATTAACTTCAGAAATCATTAAGAATGCACTTGAGAAGTAAAGAATCACCATTTCGTCCCCATGACTTGGGAAGGCAGGAAGAGATATCTCAATTCAGGAAAGCTTAACTGCTTAATGTCATACGGGCATCAAAGTCTCATTGGTATTAATAGGACCCATTTCTCATTTGGCTTCTCTGAAGTACCCAGGTTGTTTGTGGAGTGGAGAGCAGAGGCAGGAGGGAAATAGATTAGCCAACCAAGTCTTTGACATTTTCACAGTCCTTTTGGGTAAGAGCCAGACCATGTCCACATTCTTCCCCATGTTCCTACTACAGATGCTGGTGCAACCTGTAGGTGCTGGTGCTATACAAAGCAAGGTGAATTCATGAAGGTGCAGTCCATGAAGGTGCAAAACAAAAACCAAAACCTGAAGAATCAAAATCTTTCTAATGTTTGAATGAATAAAAGAACAATTGATATCAAAACTGCAATTATTAAAAAAAAAAAAAGAAAAAGAAGAAATATTTCTGCTTCAAAATGCAGAGCCAATTTTATTCTTAATGTAGTTTGAAATTAGGTAGAATCCTGCCCTGCTGGTAGATGCATGGCTTATTGGAACACTGCTCTGATAGAAGATTAAACTGCTAAAATGGAAAAGCTCCAGTGGTCATATGTCTGGGTCCTGGATCTACTGATGTGGCTGAAAACCCTGCCTTTTTAAATGTGGATTCTTACATTGGTTATGCATCAAATCTTGCAGCAACATAGATGAGTGCTGCTTCTTGAAAATTTAATGGTGGTGATCAGAACAACAAGTAGAGTAAACATCTGCTGCTTTAGACTGGAGAAAAATGCCCCCAGCTCACTGCATTGTGAAAAAAATGCTATTTAAATCAGGTCATCTTTTCAGTAAGTACCTGAATTCTAACCTTTAGACTTGCTGGAGGCTGAGGTCACCAGTGGTACTGCAATGAAGAACAACCTATTTCTTAAGCGTTGCTTGCAAACAGTCTCCAAGAAAACTGAAATGGATTAAAAATGAGATACACAAATCAAGAGGATGCTGGTAAGTAAGAGTGGCCTGCTGGGTAAGGAACCATGGATAAAACTACATGCTCCACAAATACATATTTTTCCTCTTCTTCAAGAGAAGGAAGTTTCTTCCAATGCCTGACACCATGGCAATGATGAACCAGGAATCATCCCCTTCTGTGAGAAAGGTGCAAGATAAGCTAACATCTTGAAAAACCCCAAAGGATTAATGCTCAAACTAGAGCTTTCCTACATCACTGCTACCAAAATAAGCTCCAAACATCTACGTTCTGGGCATCAGTTATCTGATGAACTTTCATATATTAACCAGTTGTATTTTGGGGATATTTCATATCTTAAGAAAAATCCCTCCATCAGTAAGCTAGACTGACCAGCTGAAGACTACCTTCATAGTTCAAACCTGCTACTTTTATGACCCAGGAATGGAGATTGCCTCTTGAGCCTTTTTGTTACTTAAAAAAACCCAACTCAAAAAATAACCAACCAAACTGAAAAGTCTGACCTAAATGTAGTTAGAACAAATGTTCTGAGTCCAGAATTCTTCCTAGATTTCCCTTCTAATGTTACAGTTGTATTTTCTTCTTAAGCTTATTCTGTTCGTTATGCTTCAGCAAGCTGCAAAACATGAAATAATTCTGCCCTGTAAAGGTTAAAGCTGCAGTTTCAGAGCACACACATTCAGGGTGTGATACATTAGCAATAGCCTCTCAAGGTGTTCTGTATTCAACTTCAGTGACTCAGTTGCTAAACTCTTAAAGATATGTATGTTTGGGTACTTTCAATTTGCAGGTCTAAGCAGCAGTAAGGATTTGTTTTACAAGGTATCAAAGTTCATGGACAGTGAGAACAAGCACCAAATGAAAATGTCTAACAAAAATAAAATGAAAAAATGATTTTCTTTTTTATAACACTGAAAAAGTTATATAGCAAAATATGTCACAATGGTGCAATACACTTATACAAAAAAACCTCTTATTCCAAAGCTTTGGGGGAAAAAAAAAACTGTTTTTCTTTTAAACTTCCATATTTCCTATGTAAAGTAAAAGCTTTTTGTAATGAGAAGGCCTCTAGGAGGTATTGTGTCTTTATTTCTGTGGGACAAAAGAAGTTTCAAGACTGTCACTGAGATAACATATTTCCCCTTTGGTGCCAATAACAATCCTTAAACACTTAGAATAGATTTTAGATTGGAATAGAATTTAGATTGGAAAAGACCTTAAGATCAAGTCCAACCATTAACCTTACACTGCCAAGTCTGCTACTAAATTGTGTCCCTAAGCACTGCATCTACACATCTTTTAAATACTTCTAGGTATGGTAACTCCTCCACTTCCCTGGGCAGCCTGTTCCAGTGACTGACAACCCTATTCTGAGAAGGAATTTTTCCTAATATCTAATCTAAATTTCCCAGGTGCAATTTGAGGCAATTTCCTCTTGTCCTATCGCTTGTTACTTGGGAGAAGAGACAGACCCCCACCTCACTCCATCCTCCTTTCAGGTAGTTGTAGAGAGCAATAAGGTCTGAGCCTCCTCTTCTCCAGACTAAACAACCCCACTTTGCTGAGCTGCTCCTCACAGAACTGGTTCTCTAGACCTTTCGCCAGCTTTGTTGCTCTCCTTTGGACATGTTCCAGTACCTCAATGTCTTTCTTGTAGTGAGGGGCCCAAAAATGAACACAGTATTTCAGATGCAATCTCACTAGTGCTGAGTATGGGAGGATGATCACTTCCTTATTCCCACAGATTGATTTCTTACCAGTCTAAAGGCATAAGGAACTTATGAAGGAAACCTGAACTAGTAGATGTACATGAAAAGGAAAGCACAGGTTTCACACAAAGTATTCATGTGCATTTCAGGAGAGCCTGTACTACCCACTGATCCCATTTTCTGTGTGTAGTGGGCATGTGATGTTATTCTGGAAATGTGTTCCTGCATGGTTGAGGAGTGTTTCATATAGATTGCAATATCTAGAGTACAAGTATTGAAATGTGCAATGCTTTAGTATTGATGTATCACCTAGATAAAAGAATGACCAGCTAAGAAAACAGATTAACTATAATGGGAAATCTCACCTAACTTGAGATTAAGTAGTATCCCCTCCCATGCTATCTACCTTAACTGATGAAAAGAGCAGCAGTAAGTATTAATTAATGATCAGGCAGAGCTTTTTATTATTACTGCCTTAGTCATTGTTGTGGCAGCCATTACTGAAGTACAGAAGTTACAAAACGGCAAAGACTACTGCTCCTGAGACTGCCTGCAAGTCATGGCCAATGCAATTGTATTGGGGAAAAAAACTAACAGTTCCTGTGAGAGGCACAGGTTGAGAATTTCCATTTCATCTGCTAGTTCCTAGTAAGCTTTTGCAGCTAAACAGCGTAAGAACACCACCTCATAAAACTTGCTATGAATATGCTACCAGAATGAAACAAAGAAGGCTGCTGCAGAACTCTGGCCACTGAAAACAAAACCACAATTAGTAGGTTCCTGGAGGAGCTATGAAGATTCACACCAGCTGAGCATCTGGTCTTGGCCATTGGCCTAAAAGGTTGAATTGAACTTAGCAGCACTTCCCAGTCAGCTCTGCCTGATCCCTATGTGTCCATTTTATTCATTTTAACATAAGGTGACAAATGAATCTTCATAAATTTTAAAGATGTGACATTTTGCAGACTTAACTGCAAGGTTTCCACTGTCTTTCACAGAAATAGCAATACACTTTGGAAGAACATCCTCTTTATTCTGAATAACTAGCAAAAGCAGTAGCATTAAGTCTTATTTTCTTGAACAGATGCCCAGCAAGACTGTATAAGCACATAACTGCTAGTTTGGAAAACAATATATTTTAAAGAGGGACTTTACATTTGGATTGATCATTACAGTACAGATATTTTTTGCAAAGAGACACCTTTACCTGACTTCTCTGGTTATTCTGGAGTGTTCTGTTCATGCAAAACATCTGTAAAATTACTTACCTGTCTTTACAGCCAATTTTGGAGGATAAAATAATATGCAGGGTTTTTTTCAGTGACAAGAAATGGTTGATTCATACACTGAACATGTTTAAATTTACTTCTTTTCCAAGAAGCTGAAATCACTGCAAATTTTGATCTTCCAATTTTTTATGACTATGCACTAGTTTAAAATACTTTATATATAAAAGCATCCAAAACTCTCCCATATGAAAATTAGAAAGAAAACCACCTCATGCACACCTTCTATACTATTGCAACTTATGAATTGGAAAATGTAGATTATCAGTGTCAGCCCTGGAGATTTCCCATCACTGACTCACTTTAAGTTCTCATGAATAGTTTGCAACTAGAAATCCTAGCTCTTGGGTAGAAAAGAGTCACATATTCATGAATGATTAATTCTGAAAATGAGAAAATAAAACAGGAAAATGTGTATGGCATTTAAGAGAGCATATAATGAGGAATAGCAGACAAATAGCATGGGAAGAAGGATGAATTATGAGAGGCAGAACACAACTTTAACTGAAAAGTCTGAAAAGCTAAGGAAATTGCTGGCCTTCTCTCTTGCATAAAATACATTTTGCTGGTTCCACATAACATTTCAAAACTTAATCCCTTTGGTCACCCCACTACTTGGCCTCCCTCTGAATTCTCTTAATCCTTTCTGCACAGAGGAATGATACCTTCAGCTCTTGCAGCAAGTAGATCTGCAGGGCTTTCAAGTGCCGTGGAAACCAGACACAAATTACAACTAACTCATCATTCTTACATTCTTTTATAACATTAAAGATGCATATAGTCAATACTTTTAAAACTTAAACCTAAGCCTCCATCTCACCTAAAAAGAACTTGAACTCTCGTGGCTCAAAGAGAAGACAGAGATTCTTCCTGACATAGCAACATATAGAGCCAAAACCCCCTTGCAAACATCTTGACTGCAAGGATAGAAGAGCAACAAAAGCCCACTCCAACAACCTGGAAAGATTTTCAGCTGGGAACGAGAGACCCCTGAAAGCAACAATTAGCTTTCCTAAACCTTTCTTCCCACTACCCTGTCCCAACCCACACACACTTATGTTGGAAATCGGGAAGAAGAGAAGCTATTCCCTGTCTTCAAGGCAAATTTCCCTAGTGCACCTAAGGCAGTCTGAGCTCTCTTGTGCCAAAGGAGAATTCACGCCAGAGAACTCAGTTACTCTTTGTATATGGTCCAAGCAAACTTCTGCTTGAGAGTAAGAAAAGTTATTACTGTCCTCTCAACATCATCTGAAACACTATTTTCTTTTTCTTTATTGACAAAGAACTTCATTAAAAATAGGGAACATGGCAGCAAATTCTCCTTTGGAGAAAATTGTCACATCTTTGTCTTCACTAGAGCCACTGGTTTTCCTATGTCACTGGATGGAAAACATGAACATTCCCAGAACTCCAAATGTATTAAAATGATTTTAGCTTTTTGTGAATCAAGGCACACATTGTTTGAGTAGGTCACAAATTACTCAACATGTGTAATAAGCTTGTGGTACATTCTGAGACACAAGCTGGAAAACACTGCTTTCTCATTAGCTACTATCTTGTGCTCTTCAAGAAATTTATCCATTTCTTGTAAAAAGAGAAAATAGAAGACTAAGCAATTTCAAGCTGTGCTGTTGTTGATTCACAAGTTCTATCAATAACCTGTACATTCACTAGAAATACCAAGAATCATTACCAAATATAAGTGCTAGAGATATTTCATGAAAAAGAGAAGTTTTTATCCTCATTATTACAATCTTGAGGTCAGGCTTGCAGCTCTTCTTCACCTGAACAGCATCATGGAACTTAAAGCTGTTGAGAGTGTGATCCTGTAGGCTACAGGTAGCCTTCAGTTTCCACAACCTTCTGCAAATACATCCAAATTGTACAGACTGTTTTGCATCATCTGGTGCTCTCCTTGGCTATATCCTGCCTCCATCTTGGACAAAGAACCAGAATACATGCCACAATGCTTGCTTTTTACTGGAAAGGGCATTGGACATGTGGTCAAGTAGGAAACCACAGTACACTCCAACAAGTGGACCCACTGGCCACCGGGACCGGTAGTACTTTATGGGACCCATCGGCTTCACAGTTTCAATTTCATCAGGAAGAAGAAACAGGAAGGTAACTCACACTTCAGATTCTTGGTGTGAAACAAAGGCAAGTTCTTACAAAAGAATTCCTGCAGAATTAACCTAGAATGGTTTTGTTAAACCATTATCTTGAAATGAAAAAGTAGAAGACTTTAGCTTCCTGATCACAGCAGGTATTTCTGAGTCTCAGAATCTTTTTTTTTTTATTCTTCCAGAAGATATTGGATTTTGTTAATTCAAATTGTTTTGCAATTTGTCAAGGTTAAAGATCATCACACCTGTTTAAAACTTCATGAATACAAACAGATAGCAATCATATCTGCAGTGATTGCTGAGCATATAATCTTCCTCCTCAGAAGCATTCAGGAATCAAAACCACATGCCACAGGCTACAGTTCTGTCATCTCTCATAAAAATAAGAATGACCACAAGTGTTTAGGGGGATCTTAAGGGAAAAGAACCACCGCATGTTTCAGAGTTCTGAGAATATGTGACAGGCAGAAACTTCTCATGCCTTGCCCTGTGGCTGAGGCTGATTTACAACCAGTGGAACTTCAATTTGCTTCCAAATGAATAGGGTTAATTAGTTCCTGATGCAACAGAAAACATTTACTGCCATATCTGAATATTTGTAAAAAAATGCATTCAGTTTTCTTTCACATTCTCACACACACAGAGGGAAAAAACAAAACCTCAGGAGAGGAGAACATTCTGAGAGTTTTAGTGTGCTGTGCTGTGTCTTCACTGTTCCATCAGGCAAAGAGCCAAGAGCTATTGCCACAGAGACAGCTGGGATTTTGGCCCTTAAAACAAGTAGATGGTTCTTGTGCTGCTCAATGCTCTCAAGGTAGAAACAGCTCAATTTCAGAGACAGTGATAAGTGGGGGCCAGGAACTGGGAACACCTGGCTTGACTCTTTTGCTTTGCTGTTTGCCCTTAGATGTTTCATTTCCCTCTACTACAAACTTAAAGAAGTTGGCCTTATATGACAGGCAACTGTATGTAAAAAGAGCAGGTTGTCTTTCTCATGTTTTCTTCACAAATGAGGTTTCAAATAGTCTGTGACAAAGGAAGGTTAGAAAATACACAGCTATAAAGCTTTTTGGAATTTCACATTTTTAAAAAGTATACATGTCACGTATTTGTTACATACCAGCGGAGTACTTACTATTAATCCTTGTTCTCCTGGTTTTCCTGGCTCACCCTTAAAACAAAAAAAGGAAAAAAAAAAAGAGTGAATAATTTCAGTAACCTGTCATTTAACATGTCTAGAATTCAATTTTCTACTTGATAAAAGTATCTTAAAAAATTCATTCTTAAACGTGTGGCAGCTGACTGTACATTACGTATATTACTTTTTTGTAAAAGTAATGTCAGTAAGGGTTGTCAGGCATTGGAATAGGCTGCCCGTGGAAGTGGTGGAATCACCATCGCTGAAGTGTTCCAACACCATGTAGACGAGGCCCTTAGTGACATGGTTTAGTGGTGGTCTTGGCAGTCCTGGAGTAATGGTTGGACTTGATGATCTTAAAGGTCCTTTCCAACCTAGCTGATTCTATGATTCTATGTGTGCATTGCATTCAGAAGAAGATATGTATCATCTTCAAACACACCAAGATACCCAAGAGAGAGAAACCAGATATGCATGGGTTTCTGACAGCTAATTACCTACGCTTGTTGGACTTTTCAGCTCTCTCTGAAACATTGCTAACTTCTGGATACAGCAGTTACACATCCTGAAGTGAGTATCAAGATATCCCCATAAATTTAGGGAAATAAAGATGAAATAATTTCAAGAGTTTGTATCATTCTATTGTCTTATTAACAGGAAAAAAAAATCTCGTTCTTTTTTTATTTCTTTCTGGAGGCATTAAAGTTTCAAAGTCTTTGCTCTGGTGTCTGTGCGATGCAAAGGTATTACTCTGTAAGAAGGCAAATATGTTCTGGTTCCAACAGGATCTTCTGTGGACATCCAAAGAAAGGCTTAGGCAGAAGGCTGAGCAGCCCTTTCTAACATCTCTTCCTTGGTGCTCTCTGCTGGCCATAGGTCCAACAGCATGTCTAACATTTCTACCTCCTCAGCTCTAAGATTTCCTGCCCAAGAAACCAATACTTTCTCATCTCTAGAAGCTTTAAGTATCCATAATAGGTTGCACACTTCTGGGATACAAGGTGGTGATGACAGAGATGGAGACATGTGGGCACGCAGGCTGCTCTTTTCCCCTGGTACACTGTGGAAGAGAAGTAGCGGGGTTGCTGGAGTTTCTCCCCGTGCCTTGCTATCTTGGCTGCCTGACTTGCTTAGGATACCCAGCAAGTGCATGGGCACAGGAGAAAACAGGGGCCCAAGTACATCTTATATCTCTGGTGATTGTAAAGCTCCTTGCTTGAGAAAGACAGGTTGGAAAAGAAGTCCCTGCTTTGCCTAGCACTGCAAAAGAGGAAATGACTACCTTCTAATGGTGGTTGACCACTGTGAGGACATCGTCTTACAGCTGTGTGGTGCTGCAATGCCCTTATGAATAACACAGTGCAGCTATTTTGTTGTTCAGCTCTTTAGCTCAAAGGTCCATGAAAGCCTTCTAAAGATACAAAGCTGTCACCACCTCTTGGCTAAACTTTCCCTCTCTCCTGCTGACTGCACACCACACAGCCATGGAGGAAAAAAAACCACCTTCTGGGGATCAGGATCACTAACCTGAGGGTACAGGACAATAGCAAGGAGCAGAATGGTAACAGCAGTCAGCAATCTGGACAGTTTCTATCTGCTTGTTTGTATCTGATTCTAAAGCCGTATTATGAACTGATTTTCCATAATGCTATAGGGCTTAAGATAGCCACAGCTTAAAAACCTATAAAAAGAAACTCTCTCTTGCCATCTAAAGTCAAAATCACTACAGAACTATTATAAAATGGAATGACCTCATTGCATAAAATGCATTACTTCCCTGTTATGAGAAACACTAATGTTCCCTCTGCTAAAAAAACACAAAACCCCAAGCAACACACAGTCATGTTGAAATCAGCAAAGCCAGCTGATTCTAGCCTCTTGTACTTGAATTATAAAAATGGCACCACTGCAGTCAGAAATGCATTCTGGTTTCAGTCTCACCTTCACTATATCAAAGCAGAAGCAACTCTGCTGACTGCAGTCAATTTTACCACATTAAAAGGACAAACCAGAGACCAAGATGAGGCCCAAAGCCCGATGTGCTGCAGGATGAACAAGAGATGAGTAGGTGCTCAACAACAGAAACAAAAGACTTTTAATGTCATTTCATAACCTTGAGCTATAACTGATAAGGGCAATGGTGGTGAAAAACAAAACAAAGCAACAACATTAACAGCAGCAGCCCTAGAGCACTGTAGGTCTTAATTGCCAAGCCTTGCTGGATTTTCACAGGACATTTTAGCAGGGTTTTACTATTATCATCATGTTATATTGATTTGTACAGTAAATAGTGTTTCAGATGAGGCAACCTCAATAGGGCCAGAACAAGAGTGTAGGTATTTTCTTTCTTGGTTTTACCTAAAAAGGCCCTGCAGGGAAATTTTATGCCTTTCTGTCCTAACCCCACATAATAGCTATGCTTTTCCTTCAAAAAGCCCTGTTTCTATTTCCAGTGCTGGTCCTCACCTTGCTAGTTCCCTATGTGTCCTCTCAGCCACAGTTTGTACTTATCATGGGGAGAGGTGTGTGTGTGTGTGCAGCTGTACATGTGGTGCTTCAGTTGCCATGTCCCTTTCCTGTCTGTGATTCCATTTCCACACTGATAACACAGTGGCATTCATGATGAAAAGAGAGTTACTTCTTTCAAAAGAATGAAAATTAAAGAGCCTACAAAATATAAAACAAAAAACACTCAGATTTTGCTTTAAAAAAGTCCATGTATTGATGCATCTGTTTAAAAAGCATTTAATCATCAGGTCATGAAGTGTCAGATACTGTGCCTAAACCAAACAATTAGCAGTAACAATGGATTCTGCTGGTTGTTCTAATGAACAGGAAATGAGCCAAGGAAAATGGTATTATACTTGTGTAAAGGTGGCAGAACCTGATTCTAAACTTCATCATAATTTAGGCAGCATTTAGCAATTTATTACTTTAATTCCATGATTTTTGAGGCTAAATCATTAGGAAGTGAGAATTCAGGCCTGTCCGTGCTACAAACATCTCAAATTCAGCTTTATCTTGAAGTTTGAGAACAAATATTTACTACTTTTGGGAGGGGCAGACCCTTCTCATGCATTTATCAATGCTTACATTACATCAATGAGCAACACAGAAACCTTAGAATGTGTGGGGAAACTATCAGGAGAGGAAGGCAAGGAACCTAGGTGTTACTCTTGGCCCTGCAATGAACTTGCTCTTTGTGAGGGAGACTTCAGATACACCATAACTCTGCCTGTGGTTCAGCTTCCATGTATCTTCCTTGCCAATCTTACCTCAGAAAACATCTTTGAAACTGAGCTGGCATATACTTGAGAGGCACTGGGACACCATGACAGCCACAGACTAACTCACCGGTAAGCCTGGCATCCCACGAGGACCATCTTTGCCGGTATCTCCTGGTGGCCCTCTGGGTCCTGGTGGCCCTGGAGGTCCAGGGGGTCCAGCTTGTCCTTGGTCCCCCTAAACCAATATAAAACTCATCACAAGTTTGTTTTATAGGCACCAACCACATACAAAGACATTGATTTACCCAGAAAGATCACAAGACAGGCTGGAGGAAGCTGCCATGAGCGGGACAGTGGCTCCTTTACTGCTTATGGCAGAGGCTGGGCTTTGCCTTCGAGACCAGACGGTTGTATCCTTCTAATGCAATCAGCCACAGAGCAGAACATTTAAATTCTAAACTGCTTGTCCTGCCACAACACATGCCAAAATTTGGGGTAGCCTTGCAACATTTTACTCATCTAGTTTTCCAGAACAAGTAACTGTTTTCAATAAGCAGCTGTTTGCTTCATAATTCACATAATCATAACAAAGCTGAGGTAAAAAAGAAGAGCCACATGTGAGAATATATAGTTTGCATGGCAATTTTCCAAGCCCATCAATGATGCATGGATAGATTTCAAATATGAGCATGGAAAATAACTGCTTTTTCGTGAAGTTGTACATAATTTTTCATCTGTTCTGAGGAGTTGTTTTATAACAACTATTAGCTAACTCTCTTAATGGCTTTTACTTCTAATTTAACTTAGTAATTTGTAAAAGCCAATTTCCAAGAGAGTTGCCAAAACATATTACTTTCCCCTTAAAAAAAAAAAAAAAAAGACACCAAAACATGGTACTTAAGTTATTTAATTTCCAGCATATCATTGCTAAAATCTGGAAAAAGTCAACTGCATCTTAAATATGGATCATTTAGCAAAGCTACCCATAGCCTTCTAATCGTTAATATCATTAACAGTTGCCTCATTCTAAAACATTTGCAAATGAACATCCTGCTATAAGAAGGCATCTGACAAAAAGGTACAGCAAAGAGTAAACTGAATGTAAAGAAGAACCAGACTCCAGTGAGATGAAGCACTACCTTAATGAGGCGGCGTTTAATGAGCTGCTGATCAGCTGAGAGAAACCCATGATTGATTTTAGGAAACACCATCTGATCAGGCAGGTGAGGTCAAAGGTTGAAGATCAGAGATGAGAGAATTGAAGAATAGACATCAGAAGGCCCGAGAAAGAAATAAAGACATATTCATTAGATTTGTAATAACTAAAATAATATAAACCGGTGCTTCTGCCTCAGAAACTGTGCATTTTCTTTTGAAGAAATTTACCTCTGATACACAGGACGTACCACTCCATGAATTAACCACATACAGTGAGTTAACTGCATAACTTTTTTCTCCCCGGACTTCCTGTGAGAATTCTTCACATGTATCTTTCTTTCATTGCCCGGGCTCTAAAGATCAGCATTTTTACATGTTGTTCTTTCAGCAAAGCTTCTAGAGACAAAGCACCAGTTCAGCTTTCAGTCAGATTTTCTAACCAGCATATTGTGCCATGAAGAATGGTGTCATTTTAATAAGGGCTGGAGCTCCAGCCTGACCAGATTGCTTCAATCCTTCCTGCTTAATTTGCAAATCCAGCTTTTAGAAAATCTGTATGTACAGATTAAACCTCTGCTATCTAACACAAATAGCTGACTCTACATGTAACCAGTATAGAGTTCACTGACATTTTCCACACTCCTGTATGCCTCAGGGAAGCAGAACTACAGAAAAATATCATCTGAAAATAAAATACTGATTGAGATAATGGGGAATGTGGGTGTTTCCAGGGCTAACACTATGCATAGTTATAGGCATGATCCCACGCTCTGCATCAGGAGTACTTATACCAATGCAAAGGCAGTGAGGGTTAACTTAGGTCCACCATGAGGATTCATTGGTATTCAATGGTCAAAACAGGTTTTTTTCATGTGCACTTTTATGCTGATACAGAGATATCTGACTGAACAGGTACGTGACACCCACAAACCTTGACGGTGAGGATCTGATTACTGTGCAGAGCAGCGACTGTGGGGAAGCCTGGCAGACCCTAGGGACACAGCATAACATGGTACCAAAACAGCACAACACAGACATCACAGAGACAATTTACTAACAGACAAACAGAACGAACACTATGTTTAGTATATCCCACATTGCCTACTGACAGGAAACAGCCTCTCTGTCATATGGGAAACAGAGTTGGGTTTGCACCACACTGCAGATGCAGGCTGTTAACTTCCAATGAGAATATCAAGAGATTTTAGAAGGAGCAGTCCCACAGATGTGACTTTCTTTAAAATTACAATAAATTGTTATGACCATTTGATAGTTTTTAAGTTATCAGCCAGCAGACAACTGAGCCATTTTCAAGTAAAATGTGCTATAGCAATTTGAGAGTTACATAGAAAGCCTGAACTCTGGATTGCTGCAGAACTTGACAGCAGTGATGGTGGATTTTGAAGTGCTTTGTATAATTAAAATCTTGCTCCTCATGTTGTGTTTAACATATGACATTCAGCACATAAACTGGTAGTACATACACAATTATAAACACTGAACAACAATCTAGTGCTAGGTCTTGGGTATTCCAGAATGGCCAAGATCAACGCTTTCAAGACATAAAAGAAGCATTTTCACATCCCGGGCAAAATTTCTCCCCTCAAGCTTTTTATGCTACATATTTTCTCATATGTTAGTCTACCAACATGTGCTACCAACATGTGCAGAACTTGTACTTTACTGGTACAAAAAAGAGGAGTGTGGTAATCATGGCCTGTTGTGACAAGAGGTGAATTTTACTCTCAGTTCAACACCTTTCTTGTGTTGCTTTGTAGGGTGTGAATCAGAGCTTCTGATAAAGCTGAAACCTTATAGAGTTGAGCAGTGAACTCCTAAAGAAAGAAATCCCCAAGTCTTCTCCTTGTCTTTAGCATAGCACACTGTCTGAAAAGAGGCATCAGGCTGAGGAACACAGAATAAAATACAGTGTGGTAGCTTTAGGCTCCCTGCATGCATGCTCAGACACATGCCACCACTGAGAGCATGGGCACACAACTGGTGGCACAGCCCCCCTATGAGGCCTGGAGTGTAAGCCTGTAGGGTTGCAGCTTGACACCTTCAAAAAGGAAAGCCTCTCTCCGTCTGCCAGATAAGGTGGCTTCCAGGAAATCCTGCATGAAAACTCTGCTGGGGCAAACCATGTTGCCACAGCGCATGAGCCCTTTGCAGCCCAGATGGCTTGGTGGAGAGCACCACAGGCAACGGCAGTCTGCCAGGTCTCCCAGCTGCAGCAGGTTCTCTCAGCATGGCAAATATTAGCTCTATTCATTGCCACATGCATCATATCAGAGAATACCTGGATCACAAAGACCGCATTGGTCTTTACAGAAAAGGACGAGTAACTTTCTGATGCATGGACGTCCTTTCACTAACACCTTCATTAGCTTCATTCCTGATATATACCCATGATCAGAAAGCTTAGACCCTGTCAGTGGAGCCCATAAAGCCTTCTTCTTTTGTTCTAATGAACAGTGGTGTGGCTAACTGCATTGCTTGGTGACCAGAAATCTCATCTTTAGAAACAAATACAAAAATAACCCCCAAAAAGGCTAAAACTCCAAACATTTAAACTCACTCACTCTGAGACAGTACTAAGACAGGAGAGATACATAATATAGAAAACAGATGTATCAAATTTGCAATTCTCTTATTATGGGATATAAGTTATTAAGATAGTAACTTGCCAGAATCTTTACATCTGTGACTCATTAGCCCTGCTGTGCACATGGTCCATTCCTTTTCTAGATAAAGCTACAATACCCATGTAATGGAAATGAGTACAAACAAGAAACCTACAAAAGGACTAAATCTGTGTAGCAAGCAATACATTTTAAGTCTCATTTATAAAAAAAAAGAAAAACAGAAAATCTTTCAACAACTTCATTTTTACTCCTCAGCCTTTAGGATTACAGCACAGTAATTTTCAGTTACCTCTAAAAGCAGTATATATTCAATCTGACATTTTAAGAAGTGGAAACTCAAAACTCATATTCTACCTTGAAAAAGGTAGAGCTGAGAATTAATTAAGAAAGGAGTTTAATCGGAAAATGTAGTGGTTTGCCATGAAAGATTTCTTTTTTTTCCTTGAGAAAAAAAATGAAAAAAATTAAAAAGATTTGTGTAGCTCCACACAAAAACATTTATATAGAGCACTTCTCAGTTCAGCCCCAGCATTCTCAGTACTTCCCAATACCACACAGACAAGTTCAAGAGTAGCTATCAGTGCTGCAGTTTCCTGCCTACATAAACAACATACGAGAAAATGGGAAAGCTCCATTTTTCCATCAGCATCTTAGTAACATCTTTCAGCTTGTTCCTAAGTAGGACAAAGCTTTTTTTTCCTTTGACTAAAGCAGTCATAATCTCATACATTCTGAGATTCACAGGTCAGAGACATGCAGTGCCACCTTGGACCTGAATTATCTCCCCATATGTAAAACACGCATATTTGGAGACAGCCAGAAACACAGGAATATTAAATTGAACCCAGCAAAGAAACTATAATGGGTGCATAGTTTTTGCATGTGTGAGAGGCTTTAGAGGGCACTGCATCTTCTGGCATCCATGAAAGATAATGTTGGCACACAATGAGTTTTGAAAAAGGCATAAAAAGAGCTATCCTCCCCACAAAATGAGTTCTCTTCTTGTCCTGTCACTCTGCTATAAATATAACCCCAAATATCCCTTAGATCTGTTTTATTTTTTCTCTATCTAAAGCTGTTCTCAATGATGGATTCAAAGCTACTCTATTTTCTCTTTATTTGGTTTGATTCTTGAACTACACATAGGAAGGGCTCTTGTTCTACACCCTAGGAGGCCCTCACAGAATACAAAACACTACAGTGATCAACAGCGACCACTGGCCCACTAAATTCCTCTGCTGACAGCAACTCAAGCTCACTCTGAAATGCTAGCTGGTTACAATTTCCAAATTAGCACACTTGTTGCATGCCTCACTGCAATTTTTGCCCAAATGCCAAGCAAAACAGGATGCTTGGAGGAGGCTAACAGGCCTCATAATGCACTGCCCTGCTTACCTGCCTGGAAACGTCGATAAAGCCTACTTGTCCCCAGACAATAGCTACGGAGAAAACTGAAAGATGCCAGAACATCATATGATTTTTCACTTAGTATAAATAATTCTTCTGTTACATTATCACAGCCTTCAAAGATGTGACTTCTACTAGCAGTCCGAGATTTTTCAGGTACATTCCACTTTGTGCATTGATCAACATTGATCAATATTATAAGGTCATCATAACCTTGTCCTATGGCAAGTGTAAGAAAATTAAGCAACAGCATTTCTGGTTTTACACTATGCTACATACACTCAATTTTTACTATTGCATTTACTTAGCATAGTAAATGTCACAGTCGTCCTTAGGATTTTCCTTCTGACCTGCCAATAAACACAAGCTTACGTGTTCCTCTGAAGACATGGTAAATGAGACAGGAATTACCACCTGCTGTTCACTTGCACTTCCTAAGGTTACAGCCAGCTGCTGCTATTTCACATCAAATCACACAGGCTTCTGGCCAGAGTGATCCTGACACTCTTTATGGCTGCTTTACCTCCCCCCAACATCACCTCCAGTTCTAATTAATCCTTCAGACCAAGCACCAGTCCTGCAGCTAATTATTGTACCTTCAGTGGTCGGTATCACCCTGTACGGTGCCATGGACTCTCAGCAGGAGCTCTTTTATATAACCCCTTTTATCATAGCTGCTGCTTTCTCCATCAGCAAATCTGCTAACTAAAACAGTGCACCCAAAGAGGACAAGGATCCAGAAATTTCTTTTTGCTTAGGCAATCATTCAGCAAAGAGCTTTATTTGGAATACATTATGTAATGATTCAGACTTTGTATTAAAATAATAAAAAATGTAATTTTAAGAACTAGCACAAACAGGTCACTATAAAAGTGTTATTTTCTATAATGTGACTATAATGTGAAAATGCTATTTTCACAGTAAACTCTACCTGAAACTGCACTCAAAATGAACAAAACTGGAAAACGCCAGAACTTTTCTATTTTGGTCCTAGCATTAGA